TTGGCTCCTGTGTCACCTCCCTGCACAACACACCAGCTGAGCTCGGCTGTGCCCACACCCCCTGTGCCACCTCCCTGTGTCACCTCCTGCTCTGCTGGGCTGATGCTGCCTCTGTAAACCACCCCTACCTGGGCAGAAGGAGGTTGGGCATGTGCTGGTGAAGTCTAGTCAAAGAACAGCTATGCAGTATCCCGGGGACTTCCCTGCTGTTCCATGCCCCTGGGAAACATTGAGCCATCTGATACAGGTAGAGCCAGGGAAAAATAGGTAACTGAGGAGACAGAGATCCTCTCAGAGCTGCAGGGTGCTGTGTCTTGGGCAGAATTTCTCTCTCTATTTACGTCTTCTTGCTGGAGCCTGACACTTCACAGCAAAGCACTTCTGCATGGCAGCACAAGGTCACTGCCTGCTCCATCTAATTCCCAAAGCCTCCAGAAGCCAAGGCTTCCCCTCCCACACAGCTGCCTTCTTGGGTTTACCTTTGACAACCTCCACTTCAGTGCTGATCTCCTTTGCTATCAGGCTGTTGTTGCCTGCTCTCCAGATGACCCGGCAAGTGTAGGTTCCCCTGTCAGAGACCTCCAGGTTCTGGATGACAAGAGACATGTTCCCTGGGGTATCTTTGGGGACGCTGACCCTGTCCCTGTACTTGGACAGGAGAACATGATCGCCAGAGCTGTCCCTCCGAAAGACAGTACTTGGGTTCTGGTCATGTACCACAGACCAGGTAAGGGTTTGCTGCTCAAGGTCCTCCATGGGCCTATAGGCACATGGCAGGGTGATGGATCCCTTCCATGTGCCTTTGACCTTATTGAGGCCACTCAGGTCCGCAAAAGCTGCAGGAGGATAAGAGAAAGAAAATTAAGCCACACACAGACAGGGTGAAGGCAGCTCTCAGGTGGTGAAGCTGTGGCAAGAGAATTGGTGAGGAGAATCCAGCAGGTGGTGGCATGAGGCAGGTGGATGGGAGGTGGCTGATGGCCAGGGGCACTGACTCCAGCCATGTGTGCAGCTCTCCTGCTCTGCCCAGAGCTACCACTGACACTGGGCAGAGCACAGGGACAGGGCTATTGGATGATTTAGGCTTAAGGGAAGGAGATTTTCTCAAGCCCAAATTGAAGCTCCCTGGTCTCAGGCAGTGTCTGCTCCAAGCATCACCCTTGGGGCTTCCGAGGAACAGCAAAGCCCTGTGTTTACGGATTCTTCTACTCCAGTGCCCATTTGTTTTTCTGGCAGACACCTCTCTCTCAGCCTGAGCCAAATGTGAGCAGCTTAGGCCATGGGACAAAGAACTCGAAGAGTCTTTGAATTTCCCTATAAAATCGAGGATCTTTGCCTTTGTCCCAGTACATTTCCGTCACTCTGAGGGCT